AAAAAAAAAAAAAAAAAAGCGAAAGACGCATCACCACACACTCTCTGAGGCCCCAGCGCCGAGCTGTCCCGAGGCGCAGGGCGGGAAGGGGCCGGGGCTGGCGGCTGGAGAGGACCACAAATCCCGGGAGGCGGTGGGGCGAACGCCGTGGCAGCGCCGGAGTGCGCCTGCGCACAGGTGGTGGCGGCGGCGGCGGGAAGAGCGGCGCGGAGGTAATGGTCGTTCTGGGTTTCCCTCTCCGGGGCTGCTGTTCGTGTGAGTGGGACTGGGGCTGAAGCTGAAGCTGAAGCTGGTGTGGCGGAGGCGGCAGTAGCCTCGGTGGGTACCTGTAGTGTGGGGAGGGGATAGACGGACTGGGGCCGTCCAGCCGCCACTGGTGGTGATGGTGAAGCGGAAGGGCGCTCCCTCAACGCCGACCTCTCCACCAGGCCTGGATTAGCTGAGGGAGAGCAGCAGTCTGCCCCGGCTGCTGGGCCTGCGACCATCTCCTCCCGTGGCCTACCCCTGCACCCTAATCGCGCTCCTGGCAAAGGCGGGCCCCACCGCCGGGTCTGTAACCGAGCAGGCCTCATGGCGGGGCTGCTGGGGCTGGCTGGGTGGGCATGCCCGCTGAGGCAGTGGGGCAGGTTGGCATCCAGCGGGGCTTCTTGTCCAGAACGACTTATCCCTGAGGGAGCGAGAGGGAAGTCCTGCACGGCTGTAGGCTATCCAGTGCTCTCTGTGATTTTCAGGCACCTGGTGTCTATGCAGAGAGGTTTTTCTGCCAGAGGTCACTTGCTGGTCACCAGTATTAGGCCAGCTCTGTCACAGATTGCTTTGCCAAAAACGCTGACTTTCTGTTACAACCGTATTTCCTACTAATTGCCTTCCCACTGCTGAAGCTTGTTGTCCCTTTGGTCCAGTGTAGCACCGTGGGCTTGTGCTTTAAATTGGGTTGCTAAATTTAAATTTGCTTTATCTCCCCATGTTGTTTATTTCCCAAAAGAAGGAGGTGTATTTAAACCTGAATGGGTTCGATGATTTAGCTTACAAAGTGCAAGGAACCAAGGAAGAGAGGTTGGGGGCAAGTGTGCAAAGTCCTAAAAGTGGCATAGCTGTCAAAGCCATGACTTATTAAGCTGTAAGCAATAAAAAAAAAAATAAAGGGATCATTCTGACCAAGATTATACGTTACTATTGCCTTTCTACATCAAACAGTAATTCTTCCCAGAGAAAAAGCCGTGATGCTAACTTAAAATTATACCTTTATCAGTGGATTTGCTCTCATATTAGGGACACGTGGCAACAGATGTGTAACTATGTTCAGTAGTGCTCCTTCCTGTTATTTCTGAAGTAAACTAGTGCTTTTGTTTGCTTGATAGATAACTGTGGAGAAAAAGCTATATTGTTTGTTCTCTGAAACCATAGTTGGAGGAAGATTTTTATGGATGTAAACATTTTCTTAAGTAACCCTTTTTGTTTCCCTCACTTAGCCAGTTCATTCCTATCCTGAAAAAACTTCCTCAGTTGTGTTAGTGCAGTTGTTGGAGCTGCAAAGTCAGCTAGCTTGGGAAACCTAAGAGAATTCCTCCTTTTTTATTTCTTTGTTTTTCCCCAGGTTATTTGTGTTCAGTACTCCAGTGTGGCTCATCATGCAACACTTGAAGCAATTCTACCAGTCTTCGAACACAAACCATTTCAGAGAGAAGGGAAACACTTCCCCAGAGAGAAATATCAATTAAATTTTGTTCTTTATGTACAACAGTAGATCCAGACTACACCAACTCCATTTCTTTCTTGTAAGTTATTTGCACAGAAATGCCACCGTGATTTATTGAGAAACACATGATTTTTTTATTCTGCTAGATACAGGCTTGCTTTATTTCTTAGCAATCCTAGAACCTCTTTCCTTTTGTAGTACAGCACAGTAGCTGACAAATTCTCCCTTTCCTTGTAGTTCAGTTCCTAGAACGTGCGAACATTTCCACAGATACTACTCCAGAACAATATAGGCTTTTAATTTAAAATTCATACTAGACGTTACCAAAACACTGCATCAGTGTTACAGTAAATTAGCTCTAAGTCTTGTAATATTGCATATTTTAATAGCTCCATGATTCAAAACACTGATCGGGTATAAAATCATTACTTAAAAAATACTGAGGGGGCAGCTTAGCACAAGTGAACTTTATGCTGAATCAGGTATTGTCTTGCTTCCTGCAGCTGGCACAAAGCCAGAATAAACTACTTCTTTTGTGCTCTGGCTATTGTAACAAATACACAGTCATTGACTCAGCATTTATTCTGATTAATACACTTGGGTGAGCGTATTAATGTTCATCAAACCTAGTCTGAGAAATTACAAGCTTGAATACTGTTACACTGGAATAAGAGTATTTTTTTTTTCTGTTTTATTTTAAATCACAGCTTCAGCAGCTCTATTTAGAGAGGAATCCCAAGAGAGGATAAATTAATTTTTCTGCATTGCTTTTTGTGATGAAAAATTATGGTGAAGCAATTTGCTTACAGTATTAAAGCCTACCCTTTATGTATCCATTTGCTGCTTCTACTGTTTTTTGTTACCTCCTGCAGCAAACTGACACCTGTTGTAATGTGCTAATATTGTTCATTACTTTTTCAGCAAGGGGCAGATTCTGTCGGGTAATGATCCCATTCCAACACCGAAAAGCCTATTAAAAAATGTGATGGTCTTCTGAGAAGAATGAGTAGCTGTAAATCCTGACATAGCAGCTTTGCAGAAGTGAGCTGCTTTATGATAGTCAAATGACAAAACATGGGGAACTTTTTAAAAATTTATTGGAACAATTGGTAGTAATAGTGAAGACATATAAAATTTACTGACTGAAAACCCAAGGAGGACCGAAAAATTGAAACATTTTTATTTTTTAATTTTGTGTCTGGTTACATGCCATCAGGTTACAGAACAGTTATTTGCCCAAACCATACAAACTCAGCGTGAAAATGTAAACCCAGTAAAGAAAAAAGCAGTGTATCTGTCTACTCCTGATTAAACTTCTACAGCTGGATGGTTTTGTCCTTCACAGATGAGAAACCGTATTTATGGAACCCTAATCTAAGGTCTCAGCCTCTCATTACAAGATGCCTTGGTCTAATCAGCTGCAGCGAATACAGCCCCATTTTTGCAAGATGTTCTGTGTGATAAATGCCTGCACCCACACGTTGGTGTCACTGCAGTTCTGCGTAAGTGCAGGATCTGTCCATACCAAATAACTCCTCCCACTACATTTTTGTTTTCTGTGATGCCTACAGCTTGAGTAGTGTATGAAATGCTGCATAAGATCTCTGGGGAAAGAAAAAAGTTAAAGTATTGTCCGGAACAAAATGCTGATTTTAGTTGGCAACGTGTTGACTGTATTCTTTGTTTGCAGTGGATGGAAGGGAACTTTGTAATGGTAAGCAGATAACTTTCCCTAGGAGAATAGGGCCTCAATTCTGCAAGTATTTAGTGTGGACTTAAATGCCACTATTGAAGTGTCTACATCTTATCCAAGTGCATAAACTTTCCTAGGACTTAGCATTTCCTAAGTGTCTTTGAACACAACTATGTTTGAAACTCAGTTTAGAAAAATACTTTTATATTTTACTCTGATCTTTGAAAAATTTATTTGAATCTGAAGATATTTGCAGTACATCTTGTTTCTCTTTGGCTTTCCCAGTCTCAGGTCTCCCAGTTTCACAATGCATATGCTCCTGTTGTCTCCTTTCTAGGTATAGGAAAGAAAACCATGTTTTTATTCTCCAAAAGGTACTTTGTCCTCACAATCCTCTTAAGTTGGGCCTCTGCTATGAACTTGCATGGTTTTAATACCTCACAACAATGTATTTGCTTCATTCTCTTCTGCACAGCCTATTTTTTTATTTCCCCCTCCTTCTTTTGGGTGAGTGGTTGTTGCAGATCAGTTTTTTGTCTACTGTCATGACAGTTCTGATACTGTTCCTGTAAGAGAGTTCTCTGCTGCAGCTTTTGCTACTTGTAACATCTTTATGCCTTTGCCCTGTTTCAAATTTTGCAGATCTGCACCAGTTCCTTTCAGGATCATTTCCTCTTTTCGATGCTTATTGGTTCTTTCTTTTATTGTAGTATTTATCTAAAGGAGTTTTGGTGGCCTAAAATGTATGAAGACACATATGAGCATAGCAGTTCTTTATTTGGCAAAAGGCAAAAATAGGTTGATGATAGAGTTTTATGACTCTAGAAATCACAAATTTCTTTTTCCACAGAGAAACCTACAGACTGTTCCTAACGGAAGAAAGAAAACTTTAGCTGCTCGCAAATGCTTCTTGTCAGAATGAAATTCCTACAGCTACTCACCAGGAAACCAAGGAAACTGGAAATGCTTTTTCAAGTACCTTTTTGCCAAAAGCAATTCCCATGTATGTGTTTAGCTACCTCTGCCTGTCTCTATAGTAAAAAGAAAAAAGTGAACAGTTATGAGCAAGTTGACCAAGAAAAATACAAGAACTTGGTCTACTCTGTTACATCTTACAAAACCAGCGCCCAAACACCAGAGACAATATTTGAAGAAGACAATTTGTTATATGGGCCACCAAGTAAACACGGACCTCCAATTAAAGCTGAAACAAAAACTCCCAAGAACTCGGTTCCTTTAATAAACCCCAACAAGAGAATTCCCCTTCTCAACAGTGATTCAGATGTCCCCAGGAAAATTGCTTTACAAAAAAATAAAATGCCCAGTGTTACCCGTATTCTTCAACAGACTCTTTCTCCACAGCAAGCATTTTATCTAGAAAGATGGAAGCAGAAAATGATAATGGAACTTGGAAACGATGGTTTTGAAGAGTATACTAAAAGTAAGTCTAACCACAGTGTGATTGCAAAGTAGAAGCAGTAGTCTGGATAGGTGGTTGGGATGTGCTAGCATAGCTGCAGTTTCTGGCCCTGCAAGTCAACTGTTTTGGAAATCCATTGTTTCCATTTCAAGGGGCAAGAGCATATTATGAGCACACCTGTTATCGATGAATCTAAGCTCTGATCTTTGTTCTAGACCACTGAAATGTATTCAGAAATGTGTAGGGAAATAAGAATTGGACTGTAGATATATGTTCTGTCCCATCTACCTCTCCTTTATTTCTCTGTTTGCTCATGTCTGTTTACAAACAGATATTTTCTAGCTGATGTTGTTGAGCCTGTTTGCAGATACAAAGCTACTTTGTCATGAGATGGAAATAACCAGTCTGAAATTGTATCATCTTCAGTGTTTAAAAACCTATGTGTCTTGCTGTTCATGTTGAAGTTCTTCAGTAACTGGTTTATCCAATATGCATCTTCTATAAAATTGCCATGGATTTAGAGGTTTTCTTTTTATAAGACCTACAAAGGAGACTTCCTCCAAGCTGTAGGACTGAAGGGGATCTGGGAAGGCCTGGGGGATAGTAAGTAGCCTCTTGTAGCAAGGTTGATAAAGAGCCAAGCGCTCCTTACATGAATTGTTATGCTTTTTAAAACCATTTATCATTATGCTTTTGGGTTTACTAAGCACTTCAGTAATAAGGTGGCCTAACAAACCTTACACAATTACATAAATTTTATCTTTCCTGGAATCATTTCTGAGATAAGCTCTTACTCTTAGAAATGTGCCCACCCATTTCAGGATATTAGTTCCATTAAAATGAACCAATACAGCCGAATAAGCAAAAGCAGCCTAGAATAATATTTTTAATTCACAGAAAGCCACAAATACCTTTGAATAAATAAATTTTAAATCGTTTTGGTTTTGAGTAATTAGTGAGATCAAAAAAGTCAAGTAAGCATTAATATAAGAAATACTAATTTCACTGTTGGCAGTTTATTTTTTTGTCTCATCCCCTTCTCCCCACATCCCCAAGCTTTCAGTACAAAAAACAGGACTGGTTTAAGAGCTGTGTTGTGTAATACCTAGAATTCAAATCCATCAGGTATTATAGGTAGTATAAAAACTGTGATGGTTTTCACATTTTTCTTAGACCTTTTTCTCCAAGGAGAGCTCTTCCATGCAGCTCTGGAATCTATATTCCTGCCTGAAGAGATGGCAGCTAAGGAGCAGAGAGAAGATGTTGCTATTTCCGGCTACTTATCAAGTGTGCAACATGTCTTAGAAGATGTCAGTGAAGTGCAAGCTCTGGAAAGTGCAGTTCAGCATGAGACTCTCCAGTATCTGGGCTTGGTAGACTGCGTGGCTAAGTATCGGTGAGGTACTGGTTCTCTAAGAAACTCGGTAATGCCGGTGTGGTGTGGGAGGCTGTGTCCCAGGCTGGAGCAGGCATGTGAGTTGTTGGGAGGAAGCTGGACAGGTCTGTTTGAGTGGCAAAATGGATGAACCTGATGACAGAAGTGCTGTTGTTTTATGTGGCAAGTTTGTTACTGGAGCATGAGGACCCTTACTGGGTATGGGCAGGGCAGGGTTAAGTGATACCCAGCAGTTGCCAGGAACTGCGGCAAGTATTAGTAAGTCTTGATTTTTGAGATCTGAACTACCCGTGTGGATAAGACTTGCTTAGACATAATAATGAGCAACATGACATCAGGGTGAAACAGGCTGAGAATCATATGACTTTCGTTGCTGTCTCATCCCTTATTTCTTATTTATGACTAAACTTAAGTTTAAAGCGTTGTCCTATCTTGTTCTCTTATGCAGAGGCCAGTTGTGTGTGATTGACTGGAAAACTTCAGAGAAACCAAAGCCAACTCTGAAGAGTACATTTGACAACCCATTACAGGTTGCAGCATATATTGGAGCTATAAATCATGATGCCAATTATGACTTCCAGGTCAGTAGGCCCACTACCTGCCTAGACAAGCAGCAGCGCCCACGTTATTTTCATTTTTCCCCTCCTACTGCCTTTAGCACCTGCTATCCATCATGGAATTGTTGGTAGGATTTCTAACAAAGCAGCCCAGTCTTAGACGAGGTTAACCTGACATACTGTGAAATAACTCCATTATTGCTAATCTGGTACCTTTGCCTGTCAGCAATAAAATTTCATTGATTTCCAGGAACTGCTCAGTGTCTTAGGAGGTCAGATGAACTCACAGTGACTTGGCATCAGGGCAACCCCCAGTGCTTTGTTGTGTGTGGATTTTGCTTGTGTCAAGAGTAGGAAGAGGGAAGAGAAAAGTAAAGCGAAAGAGCCTGCAAACAGGGAAAGGGGCTGGAAAGGCACTGCGCACATCAAGTGTTGCTATATCCCATTAGCAAATGAGGGACTAGGTGATTTCCTTGGAGCATTTGGAAGCTGTATAGTGTTTCCTCAGAGCAGAGCGGTGGTGTGTTGTCAATCACTTAATCAGTGAAATAATGTTTTTAAAGACTCCAAACACAATTCTAGCCAGGCCTTATTGGCCCGAAGGATTGTTATTTCAATACAAAGCATTGAAGGAGGAAAATGTAAAGCAGAAGAGAGCAGGGTAGTTCATAGGTTGTGCAAAGGACTTTCTGGAATACCACAGAGGTCAGTAAACACAAGCACTGCAGAGTGAAATATAGACAGTAATTCTAGAATTCTGCTATTAGCTGCCTGTCCCCCAGCCACTTTCTCTTCATGTCAGTGGTGGTTTGGGATCTGGATTAGGTGTTTGTCAAGAATGAAGGATGTCAGAACATACCTAAGTAATCATTTCCACTCAGACTGATGCTGGAGAATGGCATTGGTCTGGTTATATGACCCCAGGCAAAAGCTCATCAGTCACTGGGAATTCTAGTAGCATCTGCAAGGTTTCAGTAAGACCTGAAGACTGAAAACTCAAGAGTTTGAGTCCTCTGGTTTTCACTGAAGTCAGTCAGAGCTTTGGACTGACTTTGGAGCATTTGAATGTTTGTGTCCAAGTATTTTATGGTGAATTATTTCTCTCTTTTGTTTCCCATTTCTTATTTAAAGTACTTATATGTTAACATTTTGCAGTGAGGTTTAGTTTTTAGACTTGATGATTGTAGTTGCATATTAACATTGAATTTCTGACAGCCTTCTGTTTTTAACTGTAGGTTAGTTGTGGACTCATTGTGGTTGCCTATAAGGATGGCTCCCCTGCGCATCCGCATTTCATGGACCCTGATCTGTGCTCACGGTACTGGAATAAGTGGCTTTTGCGCCTTGAAGAGTACATGGACAGAAACTGACCCAAACTAAGCTTTGCAGAGGCAAGTGGCCTGAGCACAGAGCCAAAGCAAGAATCCTTGTTTAAATCTGCCATTTTAATACATATTCTTTTATGAGTAACTTTTGGCTAATTTCTTCGTATCAGGCTTTTCCTTAGGGGGGGGTGGTGTGGTGTGTGTGTGTTCCCCCCCAAAAATTTGGAATGTGGAACGTATATTTGCTTATGTTGTAGGTGACTGAAGTGGACCGGGCAGGACAAAGTTAGCTTAATTAATCTCTGTTTTTCCCCACACAGTTTATACAACTTGAGGTTGATAAGAAAGTTTCTGTTATCAAGTAAAACAGTTCAATCAAATCATCCTTGTCTTGTTATTTTTGAGGAAAAAAAACAACTGCAGAACTGAGGCTTTGAAAATGAAGTTGGTGAACTAAAGCAAAAAAACATCTGCATTGTCTGAGCTGAGAGAAATGCAAATGATAAACAAATTAATATAATAGACTAGGTTTCAGTCAGCTTAGTTCTTGCTCATCTCGAAGGTATCTATTAGCAGGCTTGTTACTATTTGTGGTTTTTCTTACAGCAACAACTGGAAAAACTGCGCTACGGATTATAACCAAAGTTCTCATAAGCACTTATTTAAAGTACTAAGGCAAAGTGATCGTTTAACAGAAGTGGCTTAGAAAAAGAGGAGCAGAATTGTAACCAATACACTTAGAAATTTCCAGCAAGTGTTCTGATAAGTAGGGAGTTTGTCTGCTAGTGGCTCCTCCTTCAGGCTTCTTAACAGGCTGTGCGGCCCGGCCTGCATGAAAGAACTGTGAGAGCGTAAATGGGCTTTGTACCTTAGGCTGTGAGGCTGTGCAGGCCAAGCCTGCAGCTGTCTTGAGCTCTCCTGACTTCGCTGTGGCACTGAGCTGACAAGGAGCCTGCCCATGTGGAATGGTCTCCAGTGTCAGGTTATAGTGTTTGCCAGGGCAAATAAGTTTCTTTATAAAAACAGGCTCGTGACTTTGACACTGGGCCTTCTAAGGAATTAAGATCTGCTGATTGGTTTGGAGGGGGTTGAGGTTTTTTGGTTTGGGTTTTGGTTTGGGGTTTGGTTTTTTTTTCCAAATAAGTCTGTGAATAAATATTCTAAACCAGAAGTTACTTTTGAAGCTTGTTCTGTAAAATCAAGTCTGTAAGACACAGAATAAGCCTTGATATCAGGCAGTATTGCTTCGTGTGTTGCACACATGAAAAGCTTTTTTCCTCATTCTCTTTGTTTTCTCTGAATTATATGTATTGAGTTTTCATAATACCACTGCAGATTACAAATAAAAATACAACCAACCCATAAGCTTCAAGACAATCAGCCAAAACCATACCCAGAAAAACCAATGGGCAGCCTGGCTGCTGAAGAAGCTTAAACCTTTGTAGTGTTTAATGTGCTTCTCCAGAGTACTGAACTGTGGAAACTGGTGGAATGAAACTCGTTATAGTGGTACTTGCTTATTCAAACCTGGTCTGGTGATGTTATGATTACTCTGTGCTTAATTAGATTTCTATCTAAAAAGACAAACCATGGAGACTGAGGAGCTGGGTTCAGAGATGACTAACCACGACGCTGCTGTGTGAGCACTCAGAAGTTCTACCTGTTTTACAAGTATCTTCCCACATCACAGAATTTTAGTGAGTAGGTTCAGTGTCACTGAACATGGTCAATTTTCTGTGAAAGATAGCTCCGTGAATACAAAGAGGGTGGGCAAAAGCAAGGGGTAGGATGACCTGGGCAGAAGCAGGAGGTGATAAAACTGCTGAATTCCCTGTGTTGATTGGGACAAATCAAGAGTGTGTAACAGTTGGGCAGTGTTTGGTGGAATTGCTGCCTTCAGCAGTGCATCATACAGCCATTAGATGTCTCTGAACTGTGTAAGATTTCAGCCTCATCCTGTGTCCTAGGAAATAAGGCCAAGTCTGGAGTCTGGGCAGTGCAAGCACCTGTTGGCTTCACTTGCATCCATTTGTTTTAACAAAAGCCTTGTGTCTGAGGAAGGCTGCCAGCTTCACCGGCAACACCAGTTTGTAAACCTATCTTTAAGTCTCCGATGAATCTGTACCATCAGAAAGCCAGGAGAAGGCAGACAGCCTTCAAAGACAGTAGTGGTGGAAGTTACTTGCATTTAGCACTTCTGAAAGTCTGGCTGCCTCAGGCATCCCTGTGTGAGCTCTGGAACATTTCTGTAGAGGCACAAGCTAGTGCCAGTTTTGTCTTGTAACAGAACTGACAGATGGCTGTCGCCAGTGTCATGCAAACTCCAACCCACTTTGTGACCAGTTTAAAGTAACTTGCCAGACTGTTAAATTGATATGCCCAAGGCATCTGCTACAGGCAGTGTCTGTCCTCTGCAGAAGAACCAGCCAGACAATCAGGGCAGTTACTCCAGCTACAATGTCCAGCTTGTCAGAGTTTTGCTCTCCGTCCAGAGTGTTTTTTCTTCTGTGTAGTTACCTGCTGCTTTTCTCTGGTGGTGTGAATGCTTTCTTTGGCTGAGGTCACATAGATGGCCACCTCAATGTGGCTGTAGTTCTTTTGGCAGGGACATGCTTTGGCAGCAGTATTGGAGGGAAAGCAACAGTGCTACAGGAGGGAAAAAAACCCCACAGGTGTGCACACACATGTGCACGCACACACACACACACACGTACACATGAACCGTGTCTCCAGCAAGATGGGGAGGGTCTCAGTCAAACCTCCACAGCTCCAGCGCAGGGGCTGAGGTTTTGGCAGAGCCAAGCGCACAGATCCTTTGCAGTTAGGTGAACACTAGTCGCTTTGCTGGGATGGGATTACTGAGCACTCCCACCTAGGAGCTGAACTCAATAGTAAGTTGCATGACCATGATCTCACTGAGCGGGTTACAGAGGAGCAGCAGCAGCACAACTGGCTGAACCAGCTGTTAGCACTTGTCTTAGCCAGGCAGTTTTGTCATTGTATTTGCAAGCACGCAAGCTTTGCTCAGAGGGAGCAGCCTTCCATTTATACTGTTCAGGTATAAGGGCATCATTTCAGAAGAACTGGGAATCTGTGCATAAGCTTTAGCTCTTTTTGCAAAATAAGAATCTTCTCATTTACCGCAGATGCTTTTTCTTCATGGACTTCCCATTTATTAAAGTATTCTGCAAACTTTCCCGTTACATAGGACGATGTTTGTTCTTTACACAGTAGCATCACTTTATTATCCTCGTTTTCAAGGTCCAGAGCTTTGACAGTTGTGCTGAATAAAGTATTAATATCATTAGAAATGCTTTAAAACCCCTAGAAGCTTTTCCCCACAAAACCCAAAGCAGATTCCTGTACAAAACTGAGGCAAATTGAAAGGATTTTTACAATTCTTGCAGAGATGCTCAGAATCTATCATAATAATGACTACGAGGGTCCTGGCTGTGACTGTATTTTTGGTGAGTTACTTTTCAGCTGTTGTTTCAATGTATATAGAATATAGCATATACTCCCCAAATGTACAGCTTCATTTTGAGCACAGAATGAATTATTGAAATTTACAAAAGAAATCCATTAATCTTTATGCATTTAAATTGATGTAAAACCTGCTTAGCAGCTGTGTCCATGAAGTCAAGAGACACACGTGCTTGGACCAGAGTACCTTGTGGTTCTGAGGAAGTTACCACCACACCCTGTCACTTCTAATACAGACACCCAAGTGCCCAGTAAAGGCTGCAGCAGCTTCTCAAGAGCTTTAGTATCAGGCTGCTTCAGCAACATGAGTTACATGGGCATCCCTCTCTCCTTTTTCTGAAATCCCTAAGTTGACATGCAGTCGTCCCTATAGGCTACCCTCTTAGTGGTTCTGGGTCAACAGGAGCTGGAGCAGGACTCTAGGGTAAGGCCAAAAGCACAGATAAGTACCACCAGTCCCTCATCATCATCACCACCCCCTGCCTGTGCAGTATTGCTCTCACTTGGAGCCTTCTAAACCAACAGTGGTGACAGATGAGCAGCCAGACTCATGTCCACAGTTTGGCACTGACCTCAGGAGGCAGAGACAGGCAAATCTGATCTCCCTTTGCACTGCATTGCACTGCTCTGTTGTATTAGTGACCAGGCACTTGATCATCAAAAGGAAAAAAAATCCCAAATGCACACGCACACACATACGCACCATAAAATACACACAAAATTGCATTTCAACATGACAGAAAATACATATCTTCAAGTCATTCAAGTGTTTTCTTTGGATTTCTGGGTTGATGTTGATGTATGTTAAAAGGATGTGGTAATAATCCTCAAAATGAGTGTGACAAGTCCAGGAACATCAGAGTTAAGGTTACACTTAAATCTAAACATGATAGAAGTTCACAGCTTAAAGTACCTAAACCACAACCGTAAATCTGCCCTGGAATAATGCCATTTACTAGTACAGAAATTTTGGGAGGAAAAAGTTCTGCATCCTTTAAAAAAAAAGTTTCAGCTCACCTTGGACCACGCTTCCATAAATTGTTAGCGTACTGCACCGGGGGCAGAGTTAAGGTTATTTGCACATTCTAACTTAATTTACTGATACAGTGTACTCCTGCTCTTAAGACCATTTTAATTAATTTTGCATAGAACAATGTACTAGTAGTTGCTCTTACATGGCCCTTTTCACCCAAACCTCTCAAAAGTAATTTGTACAGGAGGTAATAGTTAATGTCTTTACAAAATATGTTGGGGAAAGATGAATTTATTTGTCAGTGGCCACTCGGACGTGTGGTAGAGCTGAAACAGAAAACAGGTTGCCAGAATATGAATTCAGTAAATATTCCATCCAAGAGGTGACAGCCTCTTCCAAGCTTTCAATTTTTTTTGGCCAGCTTAAAAAAAAAATTAAAAATAGTCTGATGTTTGCATTGTATATGGGAATATTTCTTTCAAGTCGAGGTTCTACCAACATCAAGAGAGTCCCAATAACAAAAGTGTCCCTTTCATTTCATGGATTTCTTTCAAAATTGTTTTTAAAAAAATAATATATATATCGTCCTACATGTAAACTTCATTCCTTTAGACCACTGTAATCCACCACGTTACTCATCTTTGTCGTCATCTTTGGAGTTCCTCTGCAGGACAGGGCTCAGTTTGTTTTGCAAAACTGCTGCAAGTTTTTTTGAGGTTTTTTTCAGGAAAGCGCTTCCGGGGTGAACGTTACTAACGTGCAGATACAGGTCCTCCTGCGTGGGGCCTGTGTAGCCACAGTCTTCGCACACGTAAAGTTTATCTCGCCTCTGTTTGTAGGCGTATTGCTGCTGCACGCCGTGAATCTTCTTAAGGTGGGACTCCAGGGAACAGCGCTGGGTGAAGGCTTTGTTGCAAACCTCACATTTGTATGGACGAATTCCTGCAACGTTAGAAGATAGTGATTACCATTGTGATTTATGTTTCTTACAGCTGACTAAGGAACTGACTAAGAGCAAGGCTCTGGCATATCAGCTGTTGAGCCAATATCTGCAGCAGGGAGCTACTAGCCCGAGGAACTGTCTGGCTAAATAAAACATCTTACTCTCAGGCTAAAATTTTTAGGCATGGATTGATATATTTAGACATAGAAAACCTAGAAACATTTTGAGATGATGTAGGCAGATGCTGAGGATAACAGGTGCCCATGGGCACTTTGCTCCTAAAGAAGCAGCCATTATCAACTCTCACAAAACTTACTCCCTTAGACCTCTGACTTTCTGAAGTCCTGTGATTAGGTAAAACTATTGGTTTCAGCTATCCTTTCATTTTGGCGTTCAGAACAAATGAAATCTTGTATCTCAGTGAGATGTTAATTTTTATCTTTTAGCGAACAAAGCTTAATGAGGCTTCAGTGAGCAGCAGCCCAACATGAACATACAGCGATCACAGTACTTCAAAGGAGTGAGATCATTTATGTAGAATATAGATTTGATGATTGAGATTACAAGATCAAATTCTAGAAGAGTAATGCATTAAGACGAAAGAAATATGTATGCGTGACTCCAGAAGAGGGAGAAGGGGCTGGCTTGTGATCTGAACACCTGAGCAGTTTCATTCAGTACAGACAACCAACACTACAAAAATGCTGAGCAGTAAAGAGTATCTATTTTAACACCAATCGACACTGATTTAACAACCCCCAGTACTTGAATGACAAATAGCTGAGGGTTTAGGGACACTTGAAAAAACCTAAGCCAGTTGTGATTTTACTTACTAGGCTACCTCAGTAAGTTTCCAAGCAAAGACCAGCCTTAAAACTGATGCCAGAAGTTACCTAAACCCCTCTCTTTTCCCAAAAGGTGAAATGCCAGTGTGTGGAAGATCAGACTTATGGTGAGCCAGGCAAAAAATGGCAGAGCATACATGGTCCATGCAGACAGGTGTAACTTTCACACTGTGTTGAATCTACCACTCTGTCACTGATCTTTCTACCAGAAATCCAAACTGTAGTAAGTATTGCGACTCTTGTAAAGGAAGTTATCTCAGTGCACCAGCTTAAACAAGCAAGACTAAAGTTTCCCAATGCCTACTGCTGTGAGACTGCTTCAGATGCATTAAATTGCAAGTGGAGAGAAACTCCAGATCTTCACTAGTATTCACACACAAAAATGTATCTTTTACAAACAGTAATTTTGGGTGCAGTTTCATGCTCATCTGAAGGCAATTCAAACCTTCATTTTCCTGGGTTCCTGCTGCCAAAAGTGCTCCACAGGCATGAATACAAGCACAAGAGTGGTAGTGCCGGGATGGCATAGCCATCAGAGCTTCGGGAACCTCTTCATTACTTAGGAATCATTTAAAAATTTTATTTTACTGTGTATATTAGTTATTTTTTAATGTTTAAGTCTGCTTATACCATGAAGCTAGGCTGGGACGTTCGGCTTTCACTCTCTCTGACACTCCCCTACTGTTGCACGGTCCGGTTACAAACACTGCCACGACAGTTTCCACTGGAATGCTGACATTCAGTAAAGCACATGTAGATGAGCACCCATAGCTACAAAATAAAGCTCACAGACTACCACTTCCAGCTTGTTTGCCTTCTCTTTAACATTCAAATACAGTCCAGCTTTCCTGAACAGCAATCAACTTTGACAAAAAAAAAAAAGGCCACCGCTTTCAGAGATGCCATATTTCAGCCTGGAGGAGGTCCATGCCAATACATTATTGGCGCCGTGGCTGCAGGCAGCCTTCATTCCCTCCTGTGACCCAAGGCACCAGGCAAACACAACAAATATGAGTGTTCATCCTGGCTGGAGAGGAAAAGTAGTGATGACGGATTTCTTCTGGTAAAGCTGGGGACAATCTAACCCTGAGATTCATGTATCTAGGACAGTGGGTTTTCACTCCTGGCCAATACAAAGATCCTCCTTCCTTTCCAGAGTTTTGAAAAATTGGCTCTGCACCTGCACAGCGAGTTCAACCCTACCTGCCACAGCCTATATATACATTTTTAGCTTCTGAACAGTGACCCTCTTGGATTTTGTTTCTGAATCTCAAAAGGATGAGGGGACAGGTTGAAAAATCACTTCTTTCAGGAGCACCAGCTCTGCGCTTCAGCCTTACCCCAGCGGCAGCTCTCTGCTCACAGCCAGCAGCTTTCCTTTCCACATGACAGCTTTGCAAACAAACCAAAACAGCCCAAAACACTGGCTCTGGCCAACGTTTTCCCATCGAAACAGGCGGCATTGTTTTCATGAGTTCTACTGCTAAGAAACAACTCCTGCCTACCAACCTACTTGCAACACCACTAGCAGTTTGCCTCGTTAATGGTGCCTAAGCCAAAAAAAGGGGCATTGCAGAGCAAGCCCAAATAATCAGCAGGCCCCATAGGTAACCACAAATCTGGAAAGCTGGAACGTGTCCAGGAGGTGTGGTGGATGCATCTTCCGAGTGCCCTACAGTGCAGAGTCAAAGCTTCCTGAGCAAAGCCAGCTTGGCCTGCCAGAAAGCATCTCACTTGCTGAGGATGGGGTTGATATGGATTTAATCCTTCGTTTCCAATAAGAAAAAGAGAAACAAAAAGACAGCCTCCTCCCTGCTCCAGGTTAGGATAAGCACTTCTGTGACCAGTGAGCTGGGCTTGAGGGAAACACAACCGCTGCTACTTGTGGCAGACTCAGGAACTGACCCAGAGTGGCCACAGAAAGCGCGTCCCTCCAGCCCAGGAGAGTGATCTGGGAGCAAGAGCCAGCAGAGCAGGGAAAGGGATGATTTTTCTTCCTTCCAGTGCCACCATGGTCTTAAATCACAGCATCCTTGGTGGTGTCTTAAATCACACCACCTTGGTGGTGTAGATGGCAAGCGGGGGAGGAGGGAACTAGCCCAGGTTAAAGGCAACTTTGTAACCTCCTCTCAATCCAGAGCAGGAACCAGTCAGGAGATTTTCAGCCCACTGCTGCTGATTTTCAAGCCATGCTGTGAGCGAGTAGAGATAGTTAAGGCCAGAGGCCAAACTGATCTGGATGGCTGGATGTCAAGAGGGAGGGAAATGACTCTGAAGGGGGATTGGAAGAGCTGGTAGCCTGAAGCAGGCAGGGATGCAGCACGCAGGGTTCGCGGAAGTCAGATGTGTTGCCTAGTTTCCCTAAAGAAGCTGTAGACACAGCATGAACCACACTCTGGTTTCTCCAGATGGTGACAAATCAAGCCATAACCCCATCCCGCAGGACAGCCAAGGAGTCAAGTTCGCAATAGCAAAAAACCAAGAAACTGCTGCTCATTGTCGCTAGAGGGCAAAGTATTCTCATCCACCGCCTGCCTCTGCTCACCGGTACCCGCTGGACTCGCAATAACGCGAGGTGAGGTGAGTTTTCCCGAGTGGGTTATCCCAGCCTCGCTGACCCGGGCATAGCAGCACACGGTTGCGTCTACATCAGATCTGGATGGCAGCTCATGCACCCACACTAATACCCATGGATTTCACCAGATCTCCTCAGATTTTGTTAGTCCCAGGACTCTTACCTATCCACACTCACGTCGTTCCCTCTCCTCTGCTGCATGCCCACTATCTTTTGCAAATGTTTACTGGGGTTTTGTGTTATTCTCTTGCCAGGTTACCCTCACCCTCGCCTCATCCTCATCCCATCTCACCTCTTTCCCCACCTCCCGCTACCCAGAGCCACCCACAAGCCCCTGGGGAACGCACTCTCACCAGTGTGGGTCCGGACATGTCTTTTCAGATCAAAGGTGTCGTTGAAGCCTTTTCCGCAGAAGGTGCACAAGTGTCTCTTCACCTGGCTGTGACACTTGATGTGACGGTTGAGCATCCGCTGCAAGCGAAAGCCTTTGCCACACAGCTCGCAGCTATGTACCGTAGCATCGGTACAGGTGCCAGTGGTGAACTGAGGAATGGAAGAGGACTGGGTGAGTAGGCATCGAGATGACAAAGACTAACAGAAAAGAAACAGAATAAGGAGGGATGGCTTATTGTGGCATTAAAAAATTCTTGGGGTATATTCAAAATGAAAAGTGAAAGCATTCAGGAGATCCCCACCAGGTGAAACCTTCACGCTTCCCTTGCAATCAAGCGGGTGACTTAATGCGCAGGGTTTGGGACTGCTGCAGCGCTGGCCAGCTTGGCTTCAGGGCTTAAAACAAAGCCTGTGATAGATTCCAGAGGCAGGGACCCTCATCCAACTACACCCATAAGCACACGGGCTTAGGCTGTGAGCACCTCTCCATGGGGCCACACGCGTGTTTGCTCCTGCACTCAGCCAATATCCTGGATGGAGATGGGAGGCCCTCCCTGGCCTGAGAAAGTCATGCCCATGCGGTGCCTTCACTAATCACACTTCCAGCTGCTATGGGTCCCTCAAAAACCAGCCAGTGGTGAAACAAAAGGTGAGTCTGGCAAGATAAACCAAAGGCGCGTTGTGATGACTCAGCAGAGAGCGAAACAATTGCACTAATCTCCTCTAGTTGGTCTCCATGGCTCGTTAATTAACAGCAGAGTGTCATTAGGGGTTAATCTCCTCATTCCCCCTCCTAACACCAAAAATATTGTGCCAACACCATGACCTAACTTGACTAAGGGAGACACTGATGATTCAGCTCTTGGGAACAGCATTCCTCAGAGGGAAGGTTTAATGTCTGGAAGATGCAAATATTTTGCTATTAGTTTAATTATTGGGGGGG